ACGTATGCTTTAAAAGTTATTGAGAATGATACTCATATTGATAATGAAATTATGAATGAAGTAAGCGACCTTATAAAGATTTTTCAAATATCATATATGTATACGTACGTAACTAAAATATTTACATTATAAAGCTTGAGAATATGCTTTCGGTGGACCATCAGAATGTTATTAAATTCTATGGTGTCACAAAATTTAAAGGTAAAAAATTACCTATTTAATAAAAATGCAATTCTTGATGGATCTTCAGCACTATTCCTAATGGTATAAAAAAAATCGATTTTTATTACATTATTCCTGATGAGTTCCAAAACCGAGTTCTCATAGAGAATACTAAAGTCATGACCTGTGATTGATACATAATATTGATCTCGACAATTACCTAGACATTGGTCCTTAAAATAATACAGCAAGGTGTTTGTACTGAAAACTTAATGACTGAAAGCTGGTTGATATGCGTTATTTCCGATTTCTCGGTTTATTTTTGAATTTATATGTTACATATTGACTTGCAGTACGATCAAATTGGTAATAATAATTGAGATGCCAGACTTTACATCATGGCTTTAATACTTCGATAGTAACGTAGGAACGACACGTAGATCGCCCTTTTTTCCTATCCCATCGGGAATAGTGCCAACTACAGTCGACTCTGGATATAACGAACCTTCCTATAACGAACTCTGGATATAACGAACTTAAAATTTTGAAATTTCATAATAGTTCGGTATAAAAAGTTGCATGGGTTCTTAAGAAAACATAGTAATTTCCCTTTTTTTTCTTCCAGAATCTTCAGTTCGTTATAGAAAAGTTGACTGTATTCATCAAGAACGGTATTTTTGCATTGCCTACACCATAAATAATTAAACTTAACAATACATAATAGATCAAGTGGATGAAGATATTGTTAAATATGCACTTGTACTTGAGTATGCAGATAGTGGCACCTTGCACGATTTTTTACATGACAATGCGACCAAAATTGAGTGGGAATTGAAAATTCAATTTGCGATCCAACTAGCGGGTATGCGTAAATGTTATTAAAATTTATCAGTTTATTTCTAATATATCTAATGGAATTTTAACTTTAAAGACGCAGTAAAATTATTACATGCGTCTGATATTGTTCACGGAGATTTGGTAATTCAGGTTCTCATTTCTATTCCCAGCATCAAGGAATAAACTAAATACATCCATCTTATTTTCTTCATTCGTACCAATATTCCACATATAGAATATTCCGCGAAAACAAACATATTTTGGCTCATCTTTAAGATATAACCAATTTAAAACAACACTTTCTGATTTTCCATTTTTAGATATATAATTTTTAATTGTCCTAGGAACGGACATACCTTTGTTAAACATATCACAAAAATTTAAGTAAAGTTCATTTATAAAGGTAGCTTTAGGATCTTTAGGATCTTGTTCATTGGCATGAGGTTCTGAAGTTGGTGAAACTTTCAAAGGTCCATCGAAAATAGTATTGACATATTCCTTAAAGAAGTCTCTAAATTCAGATATATCAATTTCACTAACTGGGACATCATGATAAGAAAGATCTTTATAAAAAGGGTTGACAATATCGTTTAACCCTATTGACACTTCATTAATAGTTGGTCTATCAATTTGTTTATTTTGCCAGCATTCTAATTAAAGGAATGTTAATAATATCCATATATAATAAAGTATAATAATATAAATTATAAACCTACTTTCATAAATGGCAATATATCTTTCATTTGTACCAGGAATTGGTTTCTCTCTCAGACCTTCTATTATCCTGGATGGTAGGGTCGCCGGATCATAATCTTCAAATGGTGACCTTTCACTTGATATTTCCCACAAAAGAACACCAACACTATAAACATCTGATTTTTTATTTATTCTACGTCTACGAGATTTTCCGTCTTGATCATCCTCTTGCATAAAGCACTCAGGGTCGATATATGGCACTATTCCAAAAATTTTACTTGTAGTTTTAGACTTGGTTGATTTAACGATGCGTTGTGATAATCCGAAATCGGCTAATTTTAAAGTCCCTTTATGGATGAGGATGTTACTGGAGTGCTTTCAAGGTTTAAATGAAAATAAAATTGATCTTGATTAGCATTAAAACATTCATAAAGATTATAAAAATGAGAACCTGAATTA